ATATATATATATATCTAAAATAAACCACTCCAAAAATTTATTCGTAGTAACTACTGAAATACTACAAAGTTATTATTAAAAACACCTGAATCTTAACCCATCGACTCCGTCTATGAAGCCTCTACTGATAAACTAAGGCATTGCTCAGGACATGAGATTTCTTGGCCAGTTCTTTAAGTAAACAAAAAAATAGCTAAATAATGACAACTCAAAGGAGTACTCCACGAACAAAAGCGGAGCTCACCAATAGCACTGGAAGTGAGGGAAGTCCTAACCGTAGCCTGCTCGCCTGCAAAACCGGTCCTACGTTGTACCGCAGACCAACGTAGGTTCGCAGAAGAGAACGTCAGTACCATCCATTGTAATCAGTGAGTCTCACGACAAGGGACGAAACTTTAATAACATAAACATTACGAGCAAAGATTCTAAATGCATGTAAAACATAAAGCTTATAAGAACAATTCTAAAATAATTGCATAATAGCAGTATATGAATATTCTAAAAGAAATTTTTTTCTTTTCTTTTTCTTTCTTATAAAAAAATACTTCACTTTATACTTCGGGAGTTCCAACTATCCTAACCTATTTCTGTCTTAGTCACCGTGTGATCAGCACGGGTTCGATCCCAACCTGATCGAATAGGCCCAATCCACGAGGTGCCACTCCCTTCATGATTCTCAGCGCTCACGTATCATACCTTAGCCTGGCTAAGTAAATTCTCATCAACGAGAACCTCGGCTCGTGTGCTCCCTACTTTGGTACAAGTAGTTTCACAAATTCAAACACCTTGTATGTGCGCTTTGTGAGTTAAACCACTTTAGTAAAGGGTTATATCAACTCACCTCAAAACTCCTTGAGCCAATACCTAGGCCCCAGTCCAATTGACAGCAGTCAAGCAATCGATTCTACAACAACCAGTGCATTTTAATTAATTTCAAAGTTTCACACCTAAACACGAAACTTTAGTGTTGATACAGAGAAAGAAGAGGATTAACTATTCAATTCTTACCTATTACTAATGTAGGATAATTGACATAGGAAATTTTATATACATTGAATTCAAGAATAAGTGAGCTTTGAAGAACCCTAGAATTTTCCGTGCAATTTCTGGCGCCTCCGTTTCGTATAAGGCTTTTAAGACTTTTGTGTGTGAGAGACAGATCCTTTCGTATAAGGCTTTCTGTTTTCTTGAAGGCATCAAGCCTTTTCTTTTCCCTAGTCACGTGACTCCCTTTTATTGCTTTATTGCTTTCTCTTTTTTTTTTTTTTTTTTTTTTTGTGTGTGTGTTTATGTGTTTTGACTTAACTAGTATTTAATTATACTTATTGTTTTAAATTAATAATATTAAAATTATTAATATTCCCCTAAATGTATATCGAATTATTTATAAATAGAGAAGTAACTTAAAAGTCAATCACAAGAGTTTAAATCCGTAATAGAAGTATAATTTTTTATACACTTAAGGCAAGATAAAAAAAAATTAAATTTATATTTAGCGTATCTTGAAACTTTTATAGATTTAGGAGTGTTACAATTCTGATGAGTAGTGCCTCAATTTGGTTCCAAGAGAATGTCTCCTTGGACATAGCCGAAACACCAAAAGAAGCATTGTTTTGTTAGAATCACTACTGTCTTGTTAGAAGAGAAATAAAAGGATGGGGTGGATAAGGGAACGGGCTATACATTTAAGTAGCTACCGAAACTTCCTATAGCAACTAGAGGCGGATGTAGCCTTGCGGCACCTTGGTTCATCTGAACTCATTACTTTCGACGCGTAACATAAATTTTTGTGTAAGTAAAGACACCAGACAATGTTCTATGATCCGCCTGATAGCAACTTGGTTCAGGCATGTGGACTGCATGTTTTATCTTGGATTAAATTTTTATTCAGGCTATATTGGTTTTATGCTGTGCTTGATCCTTTTGCATGTATGGCTATTTTTCAACTTCATTATCCAAGTCATGGGCATTTGCATGTAAGCCCATTCCTCTTTTGTGTGTGTTGGTGAGGAAGGCCATCAGAAGTGGGAAGGATATGGAAGAATAAATTAAATAGGTCAAAGATACCTTCATGTTATTGTTTCTCTGAACTTAGTGACAAAATTAGGCACCATGCATGAACTTGAGTACGTACATGCACTCTAATTTTTGGCCATTATGTGTTTATACACAGTCCTATATGAGCTTCCCCAAGTCCCAACCCACCCCCCTCAAATCCTTCTTATCTCCGCTAGCATACCTATGACATTTTCCTTGTATATTTAAGAAGCTTTTAACTCCTCATATAGAATAGACATACACTTTTAGAATATCAGACCTTGGGGAGATCGGCGCTATGATCCATTATATATATTCTTTTAGTTATATAACTTTTTTTTTTCGTAGGAGATTGGTAATTAAACATTGGAGATCTTTATACGATTGCATTCTCTTTTATTCAAATTGTAGCTAGTCGTAGGAAATCATATTTTCACTTCTTACATCATAAAATACAAGAAGGGGAGCCTTGGCGTAACTGGTAAAGTTGCTGCCATGTGACAAGGAGTCATAAGTTTAAGCTGTGGTAACAACCTCTTGCAGAAATGCAGGGTAAGACCGCGTACAATAGATCCTTGTGGTCCAGCCCTTCTCCGGACCCAAATTAATGCACCGGACTGCCCACGTCATAAAATACAGCCTGCTGGCTTTATTTTTTTTTTCCGTATCATACTTAAACTTGCATGCTCATATTTCGGTTTACTTTCAAACCTTCATAAGAAAACTTTGCAAAAAAGAAAAAAAGATGTGGTACCATTTTTAGTCGAGAAGCATAACTAACTAAATATATTGGAGGGCAACTTGAAATCCTACCCAAAAAAGCATAAACTTAGATGAACAACGAATGAAAAGTGCCGCAAAGCTAGCAAACATTCTACTATCTAATAAGAGGTAGTTAGCAGGCAGCTGGACGACCTGCTTTATCTAAAATATATTCGTCACTGCTTTTGCATATTATTACATGGAATGCCATCGTATAGTTTAGTAAATAGAGGGAACTTTTGAGGCTTTTCATGGCCCAAATTGTCAGCCCGGTTTCACTGACATACCTGCTTTACAGAGAAAATATTTGCCTCTTTTGTGCATACTATTTATGTTAAATGCCATCGCATAGTTTAGTAAAAAACCGCAACTTATGAGGCATTTTCATGGCTCAAATTATCAGCCTCATTTGTGTTGTATGTAGAGATTTTACTCCACGTCACGCTCATTGCATTGATTATGGTGGGGTCACTGAAGTTTTATCTGACACCTCTACTCAAATAAGAATCATTTGAAAGAAGATTAAAATACAAATTATAAATATTTATTCTTCCAAATAACTTCTACTATCTAATAAGAGGGAGTTAGCAGGTAGGTAGCTGGAAGACATGTCTGCTTTATCTAAAATATATTCGCCACTGCTTTTGCATATTATTACATTGAATGCCATCGTATAGTTCAGTAAATAGAGGAAACTTTTGAGGCTTTTTCATGGCCCAAATTGTCAGCCCGGTTTCACTGACATACCTGCTTTACAGAGAAAATATTTGCCTCTTTTGTGCATACTATTTATGTTAAATGCCATCGCATAGTTTAGTAAAAAACCGCAACTTATGAGGCATTTTCATGGCTCAAATTATCAGCCTCATTTGTGTTGTATGTAGAGATTTTACTCCACGTCACGCTCATTGCATTGATTATGGTGGGGTCACTGAATTTTTATCTGACACCTCTACTCAAATAAGAATCATTTGAAAGAAGCTTGAAATACAAATTATAAATATTTATTCTTCCAAATAACTACAATATTTTATTAATAAAGACATAGCTATGATAGTGAAAGTAAAAATAATTAACTAATCACACAAGGTATTGTTTATACGATTTTTTTTACAAAAACATTGTTCTAATGTGAGATAGTTATTTGGTACGAGGTATTAACCAATTACATCGTATAATTCTTTCACCCAAACTTTCGTTACATCTTTGTAATATCTCATTTAAAGCAAAAAAGAGGTACATTGAAATATCACAGTCTTCTACAAAGTTTAAAGATTAAGATGTAAATGAAATGTCGCTACCAAGAGCTTTCACCTATTTAGCATTAACTTTACGGTTAGCACTTAGTAGTAGGTGAAGTGCAGAAATCATAAAATTAAGATTTCGCTTAAAGAAATATTTTGTTAGCTTAGTATTGAAATTTATTGAGCAATATACATACACACACACTGTACATAAACACACTGTAATACAATAGACATGTATGCTTAATTATTTCACATGGTAGTTAAAGTAGTTAATAGAGGTGGTTAGGAGTAGTTAGTGGACCAACTCATTGCCAGCTAAGCTAGTTTACATCTTCTTTTCTTCTTCATTTTTCATTTGCTTATAAGTAAGCACTTGTACAGACGCAGAGTTAGTTTTTTACAGAAATGAAGGAATTTTGGTTTCTTCCAGAATGTTCCCTCAGTTCCAATTCTCTCGTGTGAGTTAAAGCTCATTTCAATGGCTTTCTCTCAGCTTTGATATAGTATTAGAGCCCAGTCTCGAGGTCTCGATCTAATTCCTCATTCCTTCTTCGATTTGATCTTCTTCGATTTGGTTTTTTTTTTCTTTTTGTTCAATTTAGGGTTCTTCAGATCGCTATTCATTTTTGGTAATTTCTCTGAAATTGAGTCCTCTAGCCACCGAGCTCTCAATCGAGTACTTGAATCATGGCCGGAGAAAAAGAAGTAGCGGATTCAACCAACAATTCAATCAATGCTCCGTTGAGCTCAACAAGTCCACTCTACATGCATCCATCGGAGAACGCAGGGACCACTTTGGTGCCAACTCCTTTTGATGGTTCTGGGTACAGATCATGGAGAAGAGGTGTGTTAAGAGCTCTGCCTGTGAAGAATAAGGTAGGGTTCATTAATGGAAAATATAAAAAGCCAGATGCAAATGATGCACTCTTTGATCAGTGAGAACGGTGCGACGACATGGTAACCTCGTGGATATTGAACTCACTCTCTAAGGATTTAGCAGATAGCCTACAGTATGTTAACGATGCAAAGGAGCTCTGGAAAGAACTAGAGGACAGGTACGATCAAACAAATGGAGCAAAACTATATCAATTACAAAAGGAAATTAGTGATTTAAACCAATGAACTTTCATTATTACTGGATATTACACGAAAATAAAAAAGCTGTGGGAAGAGTTAAACATGCTGAATAGTCATGCTCAGTGCAGTTGTCAATGTGTGTGGGGAGCTAAGGCCAATATGCAGAAGGCTGAACAAGATAGGAGGCTGATCCAATTTCTCATGGGACTAAATGAAGTATATACAGTTGTCAGGGGTAGTATACTGATGATGAACCCCTTACCTAGCATAGCACAGGCCTTCTCCATTCTTATTCAGGAAGAGAAGCAGAGAGAAGTCAAGTCTCAGAATCAAGTCATGGTCGACTCTACTTCTCTCAATGCTAACACTACAGGTGTGAACACTTTTAGGAAAAATTACTGTCAAAACTCTGCTGGAACTGGTGGTTTCAGAGAAAACTACAATCCTAACAGGCCTAGGCCCTTTTGTGAGTATTGCAAGAGGCCGGGATATACCAAAGACAAATGTTATAAACTCCATGGATACCCACAAGGGATGAATAGGCCCAATAATAATTCACAGGCCTTCAATAAGTTCAACAGAGGAAAAGTGAACGTTGCAGATGCAAGTGATAGGGTGAACACTGGAGAAAGAGAAGAAGGGATGTTGCAGGAGCGACGTCGAAACTTGCACAGTTTAACCAAGGAGCAGTATGGCCAATTGCTGAACCTACTGGAGAATTTTCAACCATGAAATGCAGGGGAAAATACTGGCAATGCCAACCTAGCTGGTGGTGCTGTTAGCTTTGCATGTACTGTGACTTGTTGCAATTCTTTTGAACATGGTGATCACTCATATGATTGTTTCGAACCAAATACTGACTCATGGATCCTACACTCCGGTGCCAGAAACTACATGACCTTCAAGAGATCCTTGTTAACCAACACCAAAACCTTAGTTTACCCCTTCCTAGTGACTTTGCCAAATGGTTATAAGGTCAAGGTGACACTCATTGGAGATGTTGTTCCTAGTCCCAAATTCACATTAAGAAAGGTCCTTTTTGTACCAAGTTTCAAATATAACCTAATCTCTGTTCATTCCTTAACAATTCAGCTTGACTGTATTGTTGCATTTACCAAGTTTGCTTGCTTCATTCTGCAGGCCCCTTCAGTGAAGAGGCCTCTGGAGATTGGTAAAGCAATTGATGGTTTGTACTTTCAATTCTCAAAGTCTATGTCTAGTACTACTTGTAATTCTGTGTCTTGTTCTTCCACTTCACATCACACGCATGTAAATAGAGTACCTTCTCATTCACAAACTGCAGTACATAGTCCAGAATTGAATAAAGGAAGTGGTGATTCTGTTCTGAATGTGTTTGTTAATGGTGTTGACACTGTTGATTCCTTGTGGCACAATCGTTTGGGACATGTACCTTTTGTAAAGATGAGAGGTATCTCAACCATACCAGTTAAATTTGCTCCAAAACAGCCCTTTATGTGTCCCATATGCCCTACGGCTAGACAAACAAGATTGCCCTTTCCTCTGAAAAGTTCAACCTCAACCAAACACTTTGAATTGGTACACATTGATTTATGGGGCCCCTACCATGTACCTACTCATGATGGTCACAGATACTTCATAACCCTTGTAGATGATTATAGCAGATCTACCTGGACACATCTTCTGGGCAGTAAAAGCAATGCTCTATGTGTGATCAAAGCTTTTTTCACTATGGTAGAAAACCAGTTTGGAACCTCAATCAAATCCATAAGGACTGATAATGGACTGGAATTCATCAGTTCTGAGGCTGCTTCATTTTTTCAATCAAAAGGAGTTATCCACCAAAAGACTTGCCCCTACACACCCCAGCAAAATGGGGTGGTAGAAAGAAAGCATAAATACTTACTTGAAACAGCCAGGGCATTACTTTTCCAGTCCAAATTACCCCTCAAATATTGGGGAGAGTGTATACTCATCTCTACATACTTAATAAATAAACTACCTTCATCCTCCATAAGCAACAAATGTCCTTATGAACTACTATACAAGAAAAAGCCCAACTACTCTCATCTCAGAAGTTTTGGTGGACTTAATGTTTCAAGCACTACACTTAAAAACCCATAAACGATAAATTTGAACCAGAGGCCACCCTCAGGTTTTGTCGGGATATCCATCTGGCTCAAAGGTTACAAGTCCTAAGTTTGGTCACAAGGAAGATACATGTGTCAAGAGATGTAGTTTTTCATGAGAATGTGTTCCCTTTCCATCTGTCTTTCAATTTCAATGACATATCCTCTCCTGGGAAGTTTCCTTCTGCACAAGGGAGATTTCCTAATGCTCCAGTCTTTCCCTCTGAGTCTGATGTTCCTCATGAGTCCTCCATTGCAGTGTCACCTGAATCACACCATGGTGCAATGTCACCTCAACACAATCACGACCAATCATCACCTATATCCTTGCACCAAAGTGGCAACATAGAAACTGAATTAGCCCCAAGTAATCAGGACTAATTCCATGCTCCTGACCTCACCAATTCTTCTGAACACCAGAGTCCTAACCAATGTAGACCTGCTAGGCCACACAAAACACCTGCTTATCTAAAGGACTATGTATATTCAATCTCAAATCTCCAGACCTGTCCATTTAACCAAAGTCAAGAAACACTGTCTACTTCTTTCACTGCCTTTTTGCCAGATAAACAACATTTTTCCTTTCATGCATTGATTCCTGAAAGTCAACAGATGGTAAGGAGTATTTCACATGAGTGTGAACCTTGTTCATATGAAGAAGCAGTCATCAATCCTGCCTGGCAAGCAGCAATGACTCAAGAATTTCAGGCACTATATACAAATCACACATGGGACCTAGTCATATAATAAACAGGGGAAGTTTAGCAAATACCCATGCATAGGAAAGTACTTACCCGCCCCTACCCATGCCTTTCCCCTCCTATCCATTTTTGTTTAACACCCAGCCACATGAAGTCACTAAGCTACTATAAACCAAGCCAATTCAAGCCAAAGTTAAAGCCATTTCAATACAAACCAAGTCAAGCAAAATCAAGCCAAGCCAAGCCAATTCAAATGAAACCAAATAAAGTTAACCGAAATCAAGCTAATAAGCCAAATGGATAAAAAAAGTTGGGATGGGTGGGTAGGTAGGCGTTATTAGTTTTAATTGGGTAGGTATATATTGTAACTAGTATTCAAATGGGTAGAAAAGGATAATTATTTTAAGTTCAATGTGTATTTTGCATAAATTGCTCTCATAAATAGGTCAGAAAAAAAGAAAGAAAAAAGCTTATGCGGAATAGGCTGCAAGACATTGTGTGTATTTCTTAAATTGTCATTTATAACAAAAAACAGTATTAACGGTTTCTTATCCTATTATGCAATCTTGACGTAATTTGCCTTTTCACTTTTGGTTGAATCTTAGTCCCTCTTTCGCTTTTTAGACATTCAATTTGCTCAGGCTAGTTATAGGTTTATGTGAGGAAAAAAAATAGAGAATTTAAATTACATAAGTGAATGATGATCCAAAAGGTCATCACTTGCTTTTAAATTAAATTCTGTGTTCCAAGACCTTAAAATCCTCTTTTATCTTTACCTCGATTTGCGTGCGCAGTCCGGGCGTGTAGCCGGAAAGCTTAAATGAGAAAATCTGTGAAAAATGATAAATTTTGACTATAAAATGAATTAATTTGACTTCGGTCAACGTTTTGGGTAAACGGACCCGGACCCGTGATGTGACGGTCCCGAAGAGTCCGTAGAAAAATATGGGACTTGGGCGTATGCCCGGAATAGAATTCCGAGGTCCCAAGCCCGAGAAATGAATTTTTAAAGAAAATTATTTTGTGAAATTGTTTAAAGGATTTGGAAATGAATTTTGATCAGAACATGTTGGTATCGGGCCCGTATTTTGGTTCCGACGTTCGGTACAGGTCATATATGTGGTTTAAGATAATTCTGTGAAGTTTGGTAAGAAACGGAATCCGTTTGACGTGATTTGGACCTAAAATGCAAAGTTGATGTTTAAGAAGTTTTGAGATATTTCATTGATTTTGAGGTTTAATTCGTTGTTTGAGAGGTTATTTTGGCGATTTGATCGCACGGATAAGTTCATATGATGTTTTTGAGTTAGTACGCATGTTTGGTTTGGAGCCCCGAGGGCTCGGGTGAGTTTCCGGTAGGTTCCGGGGTGTTTAAACTTAGAATAAACCTGCTGTTGCACCGGTTCTGGTGTAACCGCACCTGCGATTCTTGGGCTGCAGATGCGGACTCGCAGGTGCGGGAAGTGTATCGCAGGTGCGGTCCAGCCTTCGCAGATGCGGGCAATATTCCGCAGAAGCGGTTCCGCAGGAGCGGATTTCTCCCTCGCAGATGTGGCCCTAGTGGGCCAAGTCATTTCCGCAGAAGCGGTCATTTATTCGCACGTGCGGTTGCGCAGATGCGACCCACGAGCCGCAGATGCGGAAGTCGGGTAGTGAGTCTTTTAAAACATAACTTCAGTGATTTTTCTTTCAAACTTTCACAAAAATAGAAGAACTAGGGCGATTTTCTCAAGAGATTTTCTTCCCAAATCACAAGTAAGTATTCATTGACTGATTTCTTTCAACTATCTAATGATTTTCATCAACTTTTATCAATAATCCTAGGGTTTTAATGGTAGAAAATTGGGGAATCGGGTAGAGTTAGGGCTTTTTGATTATTTGGTAATTTGACCTCGTCTTGGGGTCGGATTTCAAAACAAACTATATATTCGGGCTCGTGGGTGAATGGGTATTGGGTTTTGGTCCGAACCTCGTGTTTTGACCAAGCGGGCCCGGGGTCAATTTTTGGGTTTTTGGAAAGAATGATTGGTATGTTATAATTGAGCATTGAAATTGGATTGTTGGGCGTTTATTGATGTTATTAAGTCGATTATGTCTAGATACGATTGATTTAAAGCCAAATTCGAAAGGAAAAGCGGTGTTTGAGGCTTGAGTTGGCCGTGGAAGTTCGAGGTAAGTGTTCGGTCTAACCTTAGCTTGAGGGATTAGGAGTTGAGTCCTATTTGCTATTTGCTTCTTGTTGAGTATGACGTATAGGCATGGTGACGAGTATCTATACGTTGATGTCGAGCATGACCGTGAGTCTTACATTGATATTGTTGTGTTCTTATATGATACTACAGATGCTTTAATTGATGATTCTCGATATTGATCAAGGATTAAATTTGTTCTCGTGAAAATTACTTATGATTTGGATATTGTTGTTAGCTGGGATGAATAGAGGTTGAGTTAAGATTGGTTATAGCTGATTCTCCCTTGTCGGGACGTATTTACTTTTATTGTTGATCCCTTGCCCGGATAGTGTAGTTTATTGTTGATCCCTTGCCGGGATAGTGTAATTTATTGTTGATCCCTTGCCGGGATAGTGTGTGTGTGTATATATATATATATATGGATCGGGTTGCATGCCGCAACAATATTATAAATATGGATCGGGTTGCACGCCGCAACAATACTAAATATGGATCGGGTTGCACGCCGCAAGAATATTATATTATATTGGATCGGGTTGCACGCCGCAACAATATTATATTGGACCGGGTTGCACGCCGCAACAGTGATAAATATTATATTGGATCGGGTTGCACGCCGCAACAGTGGTAAATATTATATTGGATCGGGTTGCACGCCGCAACAGTGGTAAATGTTAAGGGATCGGGTTGCGCGCCGCAACAGTACTATTATTGTTTTGTTGTAGATTCTGAGTTGTTCTCTCGTATTTCTCTTAAGTTCCTGCTGGATTTGACATTATCCCCCGTAGCATGTACCCCCTCCCATTTAAATTGTTTATTTCTGTTTAATTTCTGCTGTATATTATATAACTGCACAGGTTTATCTGGAGTCTGGTCCTAGCCTCGTCACTACCTCGCCGGGGTTAGGCCAGACACTTACCAGCACATGGGGTCGGTTGTGCTGATACTACACTCTGCACAATGTGCAGATACCGGAGTAGCATTTGGGCAGTAGCACTCGTGGAGTCAGCCTTCAGTCTAGTCAGAGAGCCCGAGGTAGTCCTGCAGGCGTCCGCAGGCCCGGCGCTCTCTTCTATCTATGATTATGTTCTGTTTTCACTTGTTTTCGAGATAGACTGTATTTCTTCTTTCAGACATTTGTTGTAGTAAATTAGTCCATCCGTGAATATTGTGACACCAGATTCTGAGTAGAGGAGTATATTGGCATTGTAGTACTGGCTTGGTTATTTTTAGTTGCTTAAGTCTTCCGCTTATTTCTATTTATCGTAAATTTTAATATGTTGATTACCTGTTAATCAAGTTGTCAAAAAGGATTAAAATGAAAAAGTTAAGAATTTCTATAGTTCGTGGCTTGCCTAGCTTCTACGAGTAGGCGCCATCACGACTCCCGAGGGTGGGAAATCCGGGTCGTGACAAGTTGGTATCAGAGCTCTAGGTTACATAGGTCTCACAATTCACAGACAAGCTTAGTAGAGTCTGAGGGATCGGTACTAAGACGTCTGTATTTATCCCCCAGAGGCTACAGATTTAGGAAAAACTTCACATTTGTTCTTTCTTGTCGTGCAGTTTGGTTTCTCAATGCTAATTGAAATTCTACTCTGTTCTTTCGCAGATGGCGAGAACACGCGCTTCCTCATCTTCCGATCAGCATCCCGAGCCCCCAACAGCAGCTCCCACGAGGGGCAGAGGGCGAGACCGAGGCCGTGCTAGAGGCCGAAGCAGGGGCAGCAACACCCGTAGCGGGGCCTCAGGTTGATTTTGATGATGAGGTTCCAGCCCCAGCAGTTCCGGTGGGCCCAGCTCAGGTCTCAGAGGGGTTTATTGCCACCCCAGTTCTTCAGGATGCTCTGGTCCGTCTAGTGGGCCTTATGGAGAGTGTCACCCGAGCAGGTTTACTTCCTGTAGCACCAGCCGTCTCTTAGGCTGGAGGAGGAGCCCAAACTCCTACTACTCGCACTCCAGAGCAGGTAGCTCCCCAGTTTCAGACTCCAGCAGCTCAGCTAGTTGGAGCAATTCAGCCGGGTGTGGTAGCTTAGGCCGATGATGGTGCAGCTATGTCTGCCGATGCTTTGTGGAGGTTGGATAGGTTCACCATGCTCTTCACTACTACTTTCAGTGGTGCATCTACCGAGGATCCCCAGGATTATCTAGACAGCTGTCATGAGGTTCTCAGGAACATGGGGATAGTGGAGACCAATGGGGTCGATTTTGCTACTTTTCGCTTATCTGTATCCGCCAAGACTTGGTGGAGAGATTATTGCTTGGCTAGACCAGCCGGATCACCAGCTTTGACTTGGGAGCAGTTCACTCAGCTATTTCTGGTGAAGTTTCTCCCCATCACTCAGAGAGAGGCATATCGGAGGCAGTTTGAGCGTCTCCAGCAGGGTTCTATGACCGTTACTCAGTATGAGACCAGATTCATCGACTTGGCTCGTCATGCTCTTATCAGACTTCCCACCGAGAGAGAGAGGGTGAGGAGGTTCATGGA